GGCATCTAAGTCAAAGAGTCCTAGCAGCACCGACACCTGCCGGGGGAAAGGGGCGCGAAGCGAGGGCACTCTGTAAGCGGCAGGAATTAACGTGGACAATAAGACCCACTCCTGTACCCTCAGTGCCCCCACCCCTCCACACACAATTTGGCGGTGTCTGCCCAGATCATTTGAAATATGCTTTTCAAGGCAGTGTGATTTTTAGGAAGGGATAGAATCAAAGAGGTGTATTTAAATATATTGTTCCCCAATAATTTGTCTTTTCCAGTCCTAAAATCCGTCCAACCGCAATTCCAACGATACTTCTGCCTGCGTAGACAGAAATGCCCCGGAAGTGAGACCAGTCTAAGGAGATTTCCCAGCATTAGGGAAACAGCCCAGACCTACAGAGCCCCGGCTTCCGAAGGGGAAACGCGCGAGACCCTGGTAGCCGCAACTATGCGCATCTCCCCAGCCGCTCCTGCGGGGTCCGCTGCGCACCCTTCGCCACCCGCGCATCTCCGAATAGCGGGAGGGCGGGGGTGAAGACCGGGACCCTGTCGACGCCCTCTAGGAGTACGAAATTGCGGCTAGGAGGCTGTCCCCGGCCGGCAGGAGGGCACCCGGCGTAGACCCCCGCCGCCAAGGAGCAAACCGAAGATGCAGACTGCGAGCGAGTTCCGCTCGGAGTCCGTGTGGAGCGAAAAGAGAGCGCTCGGCGGACTCCCGGTACTCGGAGCTAGGAACCCAGCGCGGGTGAGAAACAACCCCAAGGATGTCGGCGCCCAGGGCAACCCGGGGACGCAGGCACCGGAGGAAAGCGCCTGGCTTCGCAGCCGTCCAAAGCGTCTCGGCCTGGCCTCTGGCGCCGCTGCAGGGTCCGGCCGCCCCGCTCCCTAGTCTGGGAAAGGAGGCGGTGCCCGCTCCGCCCCGCGCCGCGCCGCGCCCACCAGCTCGCGGAAAAATTCGTTGCGGAAACTAGAGCTAGGAACCTCTATCCTCCCTTCAGCTTTCTGTGTTGGTACGTGTCTATCCGACCTTAAAGAACAGAATCATCACGCTCCGAAACTCCAATTAACATTTGTTTTGCTCTCAAATACCCTGATTGACGAAAAGCTTGGGAGGCTGAATTATCTTGTACGACCTCTGCCCACCTGTAGTTCTCTTTCACCGTTTCTCCATAAATCTCAGAGCGCCATCCCCGAGGACAAATGTGAGCTGAGTCCCATCGTCCCGGTTGGTCCTCCCTGGACACATCTCCAGTCCTTATCCTAGACAACCTCTGGAACCACGTAACGTAATAATTTAGGCACAAACCCAGACTCGCCTCTCTTCTCTTTGGCGGGATGCGCGGGGTATGAATTAAATCCCGAATCCGGTCCGTAAAGACCCTATACGAGCTGCCTGCTCCAACGGCTCGAAATCCTAGGAAGCACGCTCCACACTCGAAATCTTTCCTCCCTTTCTCTTGCAGGGTCCCTCGTTTAAACAGCGTCGGCGCCTTTATTCGCCTGACCCTAGGCGAAGGAAAACCCGCCCGATCGGTCATTGTCTGGTCCGCGACCGCCCCCGCCCCCGCCCCAATCAGTGTCACAAAAACGCCCCTTTCAACGGATTCCAAACCCTCTTCACCCGGGCTCACCGAGCCTTCAACTTCATTAAGTGCGCGCTACGGCGGCTCTGGAGGAGGCGAAGTTTAAATCAACCCGAGCGGAGAGGGAGGAGGGGTGGGCCTGGGGAGGGTTGCTAGTTGAAGAAGAGAGAGAGAAGTGTTTTTGAAAAGGGGAAAAAAGTCATCAGGGGAAAAGCGCTTTGTAACCACGAAGACGCGCCCGCTGCGGCGAGAACAAATTGGAAATGGAGGGGAAGTGTCCGCCCCCACCTCAACTCTGGCTCCTGGGTGGTCCGGGGAGCCCCAGGAGAAAAGAAAGATGGGGAGGAATCGGCGGTGAAAAGAATTAACCACTTTAATTGGGCTGCGATAGAGAAGTAGGGAGAGGTTCACCGATGTGCCTCGATCACCCAAACCAAATGCCCTTCAATAAAATAAAATAAAATAAAATAAAATAAAATAAAATAAAATAAAATAAAATCCCTTCCCCAACAGGGGCTGAAAGACGTATGTCAAAGTTTGAGAATCAAGGCTGTTCTCGGCCCGTAGAAAGTAAATCTGCAAGATGGGGTAAATTCTGTCCGGAAAGACCCCTCCCCCTCCTTGTGGCCTCGGGCCTCCCGGCGCCGGATGAAAAGGAATGAAATTGAACGAAATTGAACGAAATGAAGTGAAATTGACCAGTGAAATTCGCCAATTTTCTTCCCCTTTAAACTGCCCGCTCTCAAAAGCACTCTCTGAACCCCAGGCCGATTTCTTAGCATTTTTTTTTCTCACCTCGAAAGATGAAGGTGTGCCCTGGATATTTTCTTATTGTCACCGATTGTTGGGGCCTGCGGGGGTAGAGGCTCCGCTGTCTCCATCCAGACAGGAAGGGAACCCACAGAAGGTGCTCCAGATGGGATGGCCTGTTTCTCCTCCCAGGGACCTGGTCTTCTAAGTAAGCCTCCTTACACTGAACACCCACCCTTTGCACCCACAGGGAGGGAAGGAGCCACTTACCGCGACCCTCTGGTCTGTGTGGTGGGGGGGGGGTGTGAACACAAAGAGAGGGCTCTATCTGCAATCCCCTCATCCTTTTTCTTGCTCTTCCCTACAGTCCAGGTCCCAGGTGGGTCCTTGCCAGTTCCTAATTTACAGGTTCTGGGTCCATACAACCTAAAAGAGTCTCAGATTCTAAACACCCTCCCTTCTCGCCTGCCTTTAGTAGTACGGATCTCTCAGCAATTCTTTTCCTGTATTTTTCAAGGGCAGTTGGGCATCTGTGGCTTCTTTCTGCCTCCCAGTCCTCAGCCATAATCTGAGCCAGATCTGGCCTTCTTGACCCATGGGGAAACTGGGATCTGAGTCACGGGTCTGGGGCCTCAAGCTTCTTAGAAACCCCTGAAGGGTGCATCTCACTCTTTCCTGATCCTCTTATTTCTACCACTTCCTGATATGGACCCTCTGACACACATATACATAAAGGCAATATGCTCAGATGAATTTACACACACATTTACTTTCACAAACACACACTGAGGAGTCCAGAAGGATCTGCTGCTACTCCTGGAAAAAGCGACTGAGGCCCTATCTTCTCGTCTGCCTATCCACAATCAGGTATGAATTCTGACTGAATTTTTTCTCTTCCACAGAGGAAAAACTAACTGATAAATATTTTACTTGAAGCTCCAACCTAAGATCTGGGAGTGACATATTCATGGTAAATGAGATCACATAAGCTACAAAATGCTTTATTCAGGGCAAACACACACGGTCATGTTCAACGTCCCTCAAATGAAAAGAAATCAAAGTCAGCAAAGAAGTCAACCAAGCAACCCGCCAGAGCCATTATCCCCATATCAGCAGGCCATTTCCCTTTCTACCACTAACTCTAACCTTACTTCTCGTGGACTGTTTGATAAAATCATGGGAAGATGGCCCACTGCTTTCGACCTCCCCACCCTCCCACAGTCTCTCAAGGACAAGGACCCCTCTCTGGCAGAGGAGCCTCATTTACTACCTGCACCTCCAATCTTGTCTCCCCTCTGTTAGGGAACCACCTGAGACACTTAGGAGTTCCAACCACTGTTCCTCAGCCCTGGTGCATTCCCTAACCTGATCCTGATTCTGACCCTCCTCCCTTAGGGCACTCTGTCCTCTACCACCTTCTCCTTTCCTGCTGTTGCTAATGCCTGGGACTCTGGCTAAAGAGGCCTGTGGGTCTTCTCCCTGCCTGCCCCTCTCAAGTTTTCCAGAGTTGGTCCCCTGACCCTGTCTTCCTCCTTCTAGCTGTCACTCTAGCCCAACACTCGCCCTCAGCATGTGTCTATTTTCCCGTGATGGCTGGAATGCCTCGTTCTGCACCTTTGTGTCTCTCCTTCTCTCCTCTCCTTCTCTTCTTCTATCCTCAGTTGAATGTACAAAGAGCTGAGTAACCATCTTTGTTCAACCAAAGCATCCCCTCCCGCCCAACATGCTTTCGAGTCTAGCCAGCTGGAGTCCCAGGCACAGGCAGCAAGCTGGGAAACTCAGTAAGTTTATGGAAGGCTCCAGCCGTGATTCCCAATGGTTTTGCACTTCAGCAGTATGTTCTGGCTGTGAGCATGGCTCAAGGGTTGGGAAGGTTTGCCTTAACAGAGTAGGACCGCACTGCCTCTCTCTTTTGGCTCATAGTGCACTTCTAACCCTCTCAAGCCAGAGGAGAGAAGGGCTTCACAGTCCCCCATTCAAGCTATTTGTACTGACCTGTCCACAGCAGCAGGAGGGAGGGAGATCCCCCAAAAGGCTCTACAGTGGCTAAAGAGAGGTCTCTCTTCTCTTACAGAGCCAGAAAAAGACAGTGACAGAGAATCACAAACATAGAGACACACATACATGAACACATAAAGAAATAAAAATACAGATATCCTAAAAGACAACTCACTCCCTCCCCCCACAAAGGAGGACAAAAAGCAAGGATACAGAGGACCCTCAGAAACACAAACTGGAACAAGCTCCAGGAAAGCCTCCGCACACAGAGGCATACAGAACACGCATCAAGAAACACATTCTCTCCAACTGTACTTAGTGGGTAGAGTGTCCATGAGCACTGGGCTCCCAGATACTACCAGGCCTCGCTGAAGTCTAAAGCAGATGAGAATCCTCCGGTGCATTTGAAACAAAACCTCGGCTGTAGAACCCCAGGCAGACATTTAGGACCAGAGTGAAAATGAAAGTGCTAGGGGTCCCAGGCTTCCCAGAGTCCTAGCCCCATCAACAGCCAAAGGCTAAGGCCACAACATTCCCAGTATCCAATAAGCCCAAGACCTCCTTTACCTGTCTGGGCTGCGCAGGGCTCTTCCCCACTCCCTCTCTACCTGGGAGCTGGGTGTCTGGGAAAGCCCTGACTGGAAAAGGGGAGTACAGGCAAGCAGACAGAGCTGGTGACTGCCGGAGTTCACATACATTTATTCAACTGACACCAATGGGAATGGGGGGGAAGACAGATTTTTCTTTTCTTCCACACAAACCATCAGACGATTTCACAGAGTCTCCCCTCAGTGGGGAAATCTAAATCAATTCACACACAGTGGACAGAGAACGCAGATAGCAGCCCACTGTACAGATATTTACACGTAATTACAGGACCCCCTGCCACAGGATGTGCTCTTGCCCACCCCACCCCCACCTCTCCAGTCCTTGACCCAGATCCTCCTGTCCCACCCCAACCTCATTGCCTTTAGCTACAATAAATATCCCAGGGCCTGGGACAGAGCAGAGCGCTGAGAGGGCCACTGGCCCTGGATGGCTGGACCCAGCCTGCCATGGGAAAAGGGGAAAGTTCCTTTAAAAGCACCCCAACACAAAAGAGGGAGGATGTTCCTCAGTGTAGTGGGATCCCGGGTTTCTGCGGGGACTGTGGAAACACCTCGCTTAACCTCTCCGTTCAACTTTGCCGGTGTAGGCACTGCTTTAGGCTTCAGAGGAAACGAGCTTCCTTGGAGAACAGCAAGAAAAAAAAAGTTGAAATTTTCTTTTAAGCACAAAGCAGATAATAGGTATCTTCAAATTATAATATCGGACAAGCAGGGCCTCAAAGTGGGGGAAGGAGTGAGGGAGAGGCAGAAAGGGAGACCTCTCTGTGCAGTTGGTGTTTCTGGTGGAATCGGTAGGGCCTGGGCAGACATCTCTGAAGGAAAGCATTCCTCCCGGGCCTCTGAGAGGCGCAGAGGCTGGGAAAAAGTGAAGGCTCCTCCGCCCCTTTTACTGCTCATATTGGAGTGGGATGGATCATGGCTTGCGAATTCATCGCGTAGACCTGGGCCTCTCCCTGATCGATGGAGCCCGCTTCGTCCCAACTCTCGCCGAAATTCTGAGCATGGAGCCTGAAGTGCCAAGTCACGAGCGCCGGCCCAAGGTCTGGAGACTCTTCATAAATAGACTCCCTGAGTTCCGCTGGGACCGCAGGAGCTCCCGGGAGAGGCTGAGGAGTGCGGGCCTTACCGGCCCTGAGCTCGATGCGGTCAGAAGTGGCAGCCACTGAGGCCGGCGACTTTGCTGGCAAACGGGGGCCCTGAAGACAGGAGCGCGTCCCCGGGGTGAGAGAGGCGGATGTGGCCGGCCACTGGAGCCAGGGCTGGGGCAGTCAGCATAGCCAAGACCTGGGCTTGACCCCCAGGACCTGCCGCCGCCGCGAAAGGCGATCCCGGGGAGCCCTCGCCTCCGCCCGGGGGTGCTGCCCCGCCGCCGCCGCCACCGTGGCCCATGATGTGGTCTATAGAGAAGGAAGGCCTCTGCCCGGCCCCGGCGCCCCCACCGCCCGCACCACCGCCTGCGTCCGTCTTGAGGCCCTGGCGCAGGAGTGCGGTAGACAGACCGGCCGCGGTGCCGGCTGCGGGAGGGCTCAGCGACGCGGGATAGAAGGCTTTGGCGCACCCCAGCTCGGCACCCAGGAAGGCTGGCAGGCCTGCGGGGCCGGGGCCCGACCCTGCGCCCGGGGCAGGCGCGGGGGCCGGAGCCGAGGCTGCGCCCGCGAACACCGAGGCCGTCGGAGGTCCGGGTGGAGGAGCAGCGGCGCGGCCTGGGGGTACGGACAGCTGGCAAGGCGCGGTAGCGGCGGCGAAAGCGAAGGCGTGCGGGTGCGGATGCGGGTGCGGGGCCGGGCCCGGTGGGGGTGCGCCGTAGGCCGGGAGCGCCAAGCCGTAGCCGTAGCCGTAAGCGCCGTAAGCGGCGAAGCCCGGCAGGAAGGCGCCGGGGTCCCCCGCCGCCGCAGCCCCGCCACGCAACAGCAGCTCGGGATGAGGGTGCGCGTGTGGATGCGGCGGCGGTAGCGGCTGCCGCTTGAAGCGCTTGCGGCGCCGCAGGAAGCTGCCGTTGTCGAACATGTCGGCCGACTCCGGGTCGAGCGTCCAGTAGTTGCCCTTGCCTGGATTGCCTGGCTCGCGGGGAATCTTGACGAAGCAGTCGTTGAGCGAGAGGTTGTGGCGGATGCTGTTCTGCCAGGCGGGGAACTTCTCCCGATAGTAGGGGAAGCGGCCGCTGATGAACTCGCAGATCTCGCTCAGCGTCAGCCGTTTCTTGGGGCTCTGCAGGATGGCCATGGTGATGAGCGCGATGTACGAGTAGGGCGGCTTCACCAGGGGGCTCCGCGTCGCCGCGCCCCCCGACGGCGGTCCCGGCCCGGGCCCCGCGGCGCCCCGGGCCGCCGCCGCCGCCGCCGCCGCGCCTGGTCCGGGGCTTCCCGCTGCGGCCGCCGCCCCCCGGGGCGCTAGAGCTCGGGGCTCGCCGTCCGAGCAGCCGCCGCACTCCTCCTCGTCCTCGGCTGCGTCCGCCTCGGCTTCCTCCCGAGGAGGCTCGGGGCCGTGGGGGAGCACGTCCCGGGGGGCGCGGGGCCCGGAGCGGGCAGGGAGCTCCCCCCCACCGCTGCCGCCGCCGCCGCCCACCACGTCTATGTCTGCGTCGGCCTCGGACAGCGCGGCCGGGGAGCTCTCGGAGGACATGATCTCGCAGCAGCAGCTGCCCAGGGTCATGGTGCCGCCGCCGCCACCGCCGTTCTCCGGCTCCGCTCCGGCCGCGGCTCGGGCTCCGCCGCGCTGCCTCTGGGGCGAGTGTGTTTTGCGCGCGGGCGGGGAGGGGGCGGGGGACTGAGGAGGGTAGGGAGGGGTGTCCCCCAGCTCCGCAGCGCCCCCTCGTGGCCCAACTCGCAGCTCTCACCTCCCGGTGAGCATCCGACTGGCGGCTTTCCCCGCCGCCCCGGGAGCCGAAGCCCGGCGCCCGCACCCGGGGCGTGGGCGGAAAGAGCTGAGGCTTCCCCTGACCCTGGCCGGTCTCAGCCCCCAGTGCCCCCGGAATGGGGGGGGGTTAGGGGAATTTGTCCCTCCCGCCTCGCGGCTGCCTAAGGCGGAAGAGCGCGAACCCGGGGCGGAGCTCCCCGAGCGGGGTGGGGCGGGGCGGGAGGGGGCGGGAGGACTGCCTCGGCAGAGGGGCCCGGCGGGAACAAACAGCGGCCACAGGCGGGAGCTGGCTCGGGTGGCCGGAGGCGGGTCCTCCTCTGCCCGCAGATCCCGCACACGCTCCACTCTCCGGAGCCGCCGCCTGGAACCAGTGCGCTCAGCCTCTGGATGTTGAGGTTCACGCGGGCGCCATCCGGCGCGGGGGAAAGTAGGGACAGCCCCCGACCCTTCATCTATCCACTGCAGCGCCCGGGGCCACCAAGGCCGAAGCGCAGTTGGAGCGCGAGCGGGAGCCTGAGACCGCGGGACCGAAGCCGCCCGAGCGGGGCCCGCCGGATCCAGAGTGGCTTCCGGCCCTAGGGGAGACGCACTTGAGTGATCGCGAGGAGCAAACTTGGCGCTCTCAGCCTCGGGCCTCGGAGAGGTGAGAGATTCCGGCTGCGCCCCTCTTCTCCCTTCCAAAGCCGAGACCCCGCCATACATCCTCTTGCCGCGTCGCAGGACCCCAGACGCAGGAGTGTGTGCGGGGAGACTCGGGGAGCGCGTCGCCCTCTCCGCGAAGCTACTGTGCGGCGCTCCCGGCGGTATTCCGGGGGCGCGCACCGGTCCATTGCTCTGAGTTTGTCTGCACTCCGCCCCTTTCGGTCCGGGTATCCGTTTGTCTTGGGCTCTGTGACTGTGTCTTTCGCCTTCGGTGAATCCCTGCCTCGTTTCCTGTGGAAACCCTGCATTTGTTTGGGTGTTTCTTCGTGGGTCCGAGAATCCCTCGCTCCATTTCCCTACCCCCAGCCGCACTGCAGGGCTGCCCCCGCTTTCTGGCCGGACTTGTAGGCTCTACGGACCAGCAACAGGACCCCTAAAGACACCTTCCTCAATGAGCCCTGACCTCAGCCCCAGGCCAGCGTTGCCTCGTCTCTCAGGAGCCCCTGCACACAAGGTTGGTCCTTGCCCTTCTTCTTACCAGCCGGATTTCTGCCCAGCCCATTAGGCTCCTTTCTCCCCTGGCCAGGAACCCAACATCCAGTAGACTGGGCCCATCTCAACCCTGAGGGGTGACAGGAGTAATGGGCATGGTCGTGGGCAAGAACTGAGCTGATGGACAGGCCTCTGCTCCGCCAGCGCCGCGCAGTGGTCAAAGCTCCGGCATGTGAGGCCCGAGACCCAGCTGCTGTCCGCTGCCTTAAGGCTGTCTGACAGCCACCAAGCTACTTTCCCTACCCAGCCTGTTTCCTGCTTTGCCTAGGAGTTAAGAGCAGAAACCCTGACGTTAAGCTGCCGGGATTCTGGTCCTCACTCTCTTATTTACCAGCTCTGACATGTTGGATACATTTCTTTAACTCTTTGTGCTTCTGTTTCTTTCTCTGTAAAAATGAGATTTAAAAGCAACAACTTCGGGGCGCCTGGGTGGCTCAGTGGGTTAAGCCTCTGCCTTCAGCTCAGGTCATGATCTCAGGGTCCTGGGATCGAGCCCCGCATCGGGCTCTCTGCTCAGCAGGCAGCCTGCAAAAAAGAAAAAAAAGAAAGAAAGAAAAGCACCTACTTCATGACTAATATGTAAAAGTAGTTCTGTCACTCTAGACTATTTATGAAGAGGGTATTGGGAGCACTTTGCAGACTCTTGGGGAGAGAGAAGACAGGCGGGTTGTAGTCTCCCACCTGGATCTCAAGCTCTGGTCTAGCCCCTCACTGGGTTACCCCTACTGGGATAACGGTTATCTAACCCTCTGTGGTCACTGCACTGAATCAGATCCCCTGTAGAGAGGTGCTGGGAGCAGGGTGGGAGGGATCTCCTGGCCCCTACAAGCTGTAACTCAACAGGGTTGATGTGGGGGCAGATACATCCTTTCCTCTAACAGTTTCCAGTCTATGGAATAATCTAGTGTAAATCTAACTTTCCCATTCCACGGTTGGGACAACCAGAGGCCCAGAGGAGGGAAGGGACTCACCTAGGCTCCTGCAAGATAGAGCAGGGCCAGGTGCTTATCACTTAATCTTTGTGATGGAGGTCTCTATCCTCTCAAGCCATCTGGCTGAGAGCAGAGGAGAGTGGAAGCAGGTCTGGCTGCTCCTATCCAGGGAGAGAAAGTCCTCTGTGGCCCCTACACACACTCCTCAGACCAAGGGGCCACCTGCTGTGCAGGGTCTGCCTAAACAGGCTGTCCTCAGGAAGGAGAAAAGTGGTCTAGTCCTCAAACCATGGACGAGGAGTTAGTCAGGGGTAGTGGCTTTGGGGGATTGGAATTTTCTAGGTGATAAGGCCCTCCAGAGAAAAAGGATTGGTGGGGGGGGACACTTCGGAAAGAAGTGTTTTGCATGAGTCCAAATAAACTCACATACCTAGGGTTGCTAGATTTAGCAGATTTATTTTATCTGGTAACCTTACTCATACCCCAAGCTCGTGTATTACTTCATGGAGATCTCGCTGGAACTCGCAGATACCCCACACTGTCTACCACACATCAGCTCTAGCCTGGCTCTGCTCTGCTAGTAGCTGAGAAAATGGGGAGGAAAATCAACATTGGTCTCATCTTACTACACCTCACCTTCTGAATGTCTTCATTTCTAAAATGGCAGGCAGGAACCAGTCACTTCCCTCCTCGCCAGCACTCTCGGGTTTCCCAGGCTCCAACCTCCTGCCCAGCTTCAGGGTCAGACTGGCTGAGGCATTTTGTGCCCACATAGCCCAGGTTCCAGAATGTAGGCAAGACTCTGAGGAGCAGCTGCTAGCCTTTTCCTCTGCCTGGCTCTCCTGCAGGCGTGCTGCTGCTCAGACTCAGGTTGGGGAAAAGGGATACAGGCCCCTAGCCCTTGCTCTGCAATGTGGGGGTGGAACATGATCTTAAGGAATCATCCAGACCCTTCAAACACACGTATACTTTTCCAGGAGTGCAAACAGGCTCAGAGGTCATGTGACTCAGCCAGGCTTTTGAAGAGCTGCTCCCAATTCCCAGGGTTGGGTTGGACACAGGTGTCCAGACTCACAGGCCAGAACTCCTTTACTTATCCAAATAACGCTGCTTAGCCCCTGACCAAGCTTGGGAAAGGTGTTTCTGGCAACCTCCCATTCCTCCCAAGGTTTTAGTGTAAATCTAGATTTGTCTTGAACAATGTCAGGAGTAGGTGAGTGGGGGGCTGGGAGAAGGTCCACCAGGACCTTTGGAATGCATTCAGTTTTCTGCACTTCCCCCAGGCACCAGGCTTTCCCACCTGTGGGCTCAGCTTCCTGTCACATTTGCTATCTGGGTGACTCTGTCACTTCCCTCCAGGGAAAACCTATGCTTCAGCCCCGGGGCCTGAAGCCTCCAAGAAGCAGGAGGCCACAGGCTCTGGGCGTCTTGGCTACAGTGTCACTAGTAGAGTCTGGCCTCTTCCTTCCTCTGCCTTACTATTTTGCCACCTCCTTCACGCAGCCAAGAAACAACTGGAGGCTTTGGGGTGGGGGTTGCCTTTTGGGAGGGAGGTCCACCCCTAAATGCTCGGACAACCGGGAGTTGTTGCCTGTTTGCTGTGATGTGTTGCTAGCTACCGCTGGTGTCCCTCCCTTCATGGCTCCTCTCTTGCCTCCTTATGGTCACCTTAGACGTACTGTTCTGGACTAAGGGAAAACGACAGCTATCAGATGGTTGTGAGAATCTAAAGAAGTCAGTCGCCAACGTGGCGAAGAGCGGCCCTGAGCTAAGGGGGAGGCGGGGACGCGGAGCGGAGCGACCTCACCCGCTGCCTTCCCGCCCTGTGAATTCCGCGAGCACAGCACGGCCTCCGCCGGGCAGAGGGACCCCCACGCGCGCGCACTTCTCTAATTTTATTCACAAACTCTGCCAGCCTCAGAGAAAGCTGCGAGACGCGCGCAGTCGCCCCTCTTCCCGTTCCGCCATCGGGCTGCAGCTCTGCGGTGGAGAGACAGTTGTTTGGCCGAAGCCCGGACATCCCCGACCCTTTTCTTCACCCAGATCCCCGCCTGTTCCTGAGCGATCGGCTCCCTTGGCGGGAGACTCCAGATCGGGAGACCTGCGGGGACGACCCTCAGGCGGCGGGGCTCCCCTCACACAGGAGCGGGACCCCGGGTCAGAGTTAAGAGAGAGGCCGGACCCACAGCAAGCACAGAAATGACAGGGCTTCCCGCGTGTGCGCCTTCGCCTCAGCCGACCACCCGCCCGTCCCAAGCGCCTCTGAACTGCTCCCCACACCTCCACGGACCCTCCACTTCTCCGAGAAAATGTCTTTCTCTCCTTTCACCAGGCCCAGCCCCAGTCGCCTCCCGGCCCCCCTATCCCGGGACGACGTTGTAGGGGGCTCGCTTGAGCCCGGTCCGGCCCCAGCCCTGCGCCGCGGTTGAGACCCGAACGAGCTGCGGAGCCTGTCGACTCTGGTTCGCGGGAAGAGGGTTGCGGGCCCAGGCGAGGGTGAAAACAGCTCGGCTCCGCAGCCGCTCAACCTGGGGCCCTGGCTTCGCAGCGACCGCAGTGCGACAAGCTCCCCTAGCTGGGGAGACGCACAGCTGCGGGCAGGGGAGAAGGGGACGCTCCCAGGTGTGTCGGAGCATCAGCCCCAGGTCTGAGCGCTCCTACTGTCTAAGTGCGCCCTGGGTTTCTGCGAATGAGGGTCTCTTTCTTCGTCCCTCCGAGGACGGAGCTGTTTCTCCTCCCTCTGCGTGCGTGTGCCCCTCCCGACGACGGTGGCTCTGTGTGCCCGTCCGACCCGCGCCTGTCCCGAGTGCCCCCCTGCCAACCTCACGACCTGCGCGGGGACTGCCCTGGAAGCCTCGCCTTCCAGACACACCGCTCTACCCCCGAGCCGGAAGCGGCGCGACGTGGCTGGGCCTGCA